TTTGCAATGGATAATTTTTGTTAATGGCGTGCCCTTAACTGGTCGCCTTTTTTTACCTTTTTTTAAAGGTGAGTTTTTAGAGATTATATCATTCATTTTTGTATATTTTTATGACCGGAATAGAACAATTATTAAACATGTTTATCTAAACTTCTTTGCTTAAAATGATGTGTACAATCATATCCTAGAATCCTGATCATTCCTCCTAAAGCACCCTATTTATATAAATTTACCCATATGTGTGTGTGTGTGTGTGTGTACTAATGTCGAGCATTTTTTATACATTTTCTATTAAATTTAGATAAAGTTGCAGGATTTCGAAAAAGAAAAAGTTGACACAGACTTTTTCCTAAACGGCGATTTTCAAGGTTATTTAAAGGTCACTTATATTTTCAAAATAGAATTACCTTAATTTTTCTCATATAAATCGATTCCTCGCAATATTTACTATAAAAAGTTGTAAAGGTATAATTTTTACATAATCTTACATAAACTTCGAAATATTACAAATATTTTATTTATGAAATATTTCAGTTTATGTAAAATTATGTTAACTATCTTTTAAATTATTCACTTTTAGCCATCTTACCCTTACAACCTTTTATAGTGAATATTGCAACAAATTGGTTTATATATATAATATATATATAACATCAGTTATTATTAATTGATGTTTACATTTATTTTTAGACTTACTAGAGCTCAAATGCTCCACATTTTTTGCAAAAACTGTTTATTCTACAGATTTCAAATATGCTTTTAAATGATGATTGAATATTTCCTTTTTTTAATTATTTTTATTATTATTTTTCAATCTCAATCAACTTTTATAACTTTATGCCAGCACGATACAAATACATGTGTCTTTATTTTTTTATTATTTTCATTATTATTTTTCAATCTCAATCAACTTCTATAACCTTATGCCAGCAGGATACAAATACATGTATGTCTTTATTATTGTATCAACTCTTGTCTTTTCCATGTAACCATGTCTTCATAGTTTGAATTATCCCTTCATCTTCTCAATCTTTCGCAGAGATTTAATTAATTAAATACACTTCACACGAAATAAAGTTTGCTGGAAGATATACAGCAAACGATAACTGTAAAAACATGATTACGTGGAAAGAACAAGAGTTGGTACAGTAAAGGCAAGTAAGTAAGTACATGTAATGTATCGTATTGGCATAACGCTATATCCGCGGAGCAGATAATGTGGCTGTAGAGGTAGTCTGCAGTGCAGCTAATGTGGACGTAGATGTTGATTGAGATAATTGTCTAATATAAAATAGAATTTAAAATTTAGTTTAAAAAGCTGTTGCATATATAAATAAAGTTTATTTTTTCTAAATTTGGAATATGTTTAATTAATTAATTTTTTAAGTCTATGTTTAATAAATTTTTTAAGTCTGTATTCAATAATTTTATTCATTTGATAAATACATGTATGTCTTTATTTTGATATGTTTAATATAATTAGAAATTCATTATTAATTAGATATGTAAACTATAAATTCATATATAATATTTGAAAATATATGTGAATATTTAAATTTTTATCTTCTCCTTCCTCTCCTTCAATCTCTTTAATATCAATATGTGTATGTGTGTACACGCGCGCACATTTGTACGTATTTATTTAATTATTGGATAGTTGAGAGTACTTAATTGATAAAAAATTATGACAATAATAATCCTTGTTTTTTTTTCTTATTATTTACTCAGATTTTTTTGTCTATCTTATAAGATAAACACTTTAGAGATTGAATATTTCAAGTAAACTAATTGTAAGTAAATTTCACATTAATGCATATAGATGTTTAATCATGAATGTACTAAATAAGTACACAAGACGAACAGTGAGTGAGTGAGTGAGAATGAGAGTGTGTGTGTGTGTGTGTGTGTGTGAGAGAGAGAGAGAGAGAGAAGAGAGAGGAGAGAGAGAGAGAGAGAGAGAGAGAGAGAGAGAGAGAGAGAGAGAGAGAGAGAGTAGAGAGGAGACATAGAGACCCCGACGCTGAGGATCATGAGATGTACAGAGAGATGAGAGATGAGGTAAGACGTAGAGAGAGAGAGATGATGAGTGAGAGAGTGAGTGAGACTGTTGCGGTGGCCGATAGTGAGAGTGAGAGATAGCGGGAGAGAGGAGAGAGAGAGGAGTTTGAGAGGAGACAGAGAGATGAGAGAGTGATTGTGACGAGAGACGAGAGTGAGAGAGAGAGAGTGAGAGAGAGAGAGAGGACGAGACGGAGAGAGGATGAGAGAGAGAGAGAGAGAGGAGAGATGAGAGAGAGAGGAGAGAGAGGAGAGGGAGAGAGAGAGAGAGAGAGAGAGAGAGAGAGAGAGAGAGAGAGAGAGAGGAGAGAGAGAGAGAGAGAGAGAGAGAGAGTTAGCCAACATAACCCCGCACGCTGCCGATATGGCGGAGCGCCACTATCGCCATCTGTTGTAAAACGTGCGAGATGGACAAAATTACCACTTCATGCATCTTGCATGTGTGTGTACGTGTGATATATGTGTGCGCATGTGTTGTATACGTGTGAATACGTGTAGCACGATACTACTATGTATGCGTGGTCGATGATGATAATGATGATGATAATGATGATAATGATGATGATAATGATGACGGGGACGTTTCTTAATAGAAATTTTTCATATTTCGACTTTGCATTTATATATCTCTGCTTACAAATCACGTAGAGCAGAAATAAAGACACTTTTATTATATAATTCGAACTCAATCTATCGATTAAGTCTAGTATAAACTCGATTGCTTCAGCCATTATTGAGGATTCGAAATATTATAAAGACTCAAATGTCCGACTCGCGTTAAGATACACGGTGTCTCCGCTACGCCCTTAACTGGTCGCGAGACACTACCGTGTCTCTTGATATAACTTTATCGAGACATTTTATAGTGAACTGGATATGCGAGTCTATCATTATTTTACCTGGCGAATAGAAGAAAAAAATAAAAAAATCAAATAATAAAATTAAAAAAAGAGAAATATTACAAATAAAATAGTACAGTACATTGTTATTTAAATTAATAAATTATTTAATGCAATCAATAATATATATATATATATATATATATATAATAAAAAATAAAAATATATCTTTTATTTCAATTCCAATTTAATTCTAGACGCAAAAAGGTGATATCAATATTGTAAATACATATGTAATGACAATAAAACAAAAAAGATATACGGATATATTCTTATGTTTACTAACCTGATTATATTTAAAGTTTGTTTAATGTGATATATTTAACTCGAAGAAATGGTATTTTACTTATTTTTTAAAAATGGTATTTACTTATTTTGTGCAACCGGCGCGCAAAAAGTCGCCCTTTATATGCACATGATGGGATTTTAGAAAGGGCTCCCTTTCCACGCACCGGTCATACAAAATATCGTAGCCAACATGTGCGGGTCATAAATCGGCCGATCGTGCGGATTGTCATACTCGGCTTCGCCTCGTGCTCCAAACTTCCACAGCCGATTTATCACCCGCACTTGTTAGCTAATATACTATTCAATGCCTAAAAGCGACTGCAACGTGCTATATCGAGTTTATTCTGACACGAAATTCAATCAATACTTATATTTCTATTCGCTTTATCAATATAAATAATGAAATAAATAATTTGATTCACATTTCCACGATTGTTCTTCTTCTGTCTCGGTGTACTCCGGATTCTTCCTCGGTACCATATCCATTTTTCTGTAGGAGACCAACCTCTGCGTCCGGGAACTATATCCTCGTAAAAACACTTTAAAACATTCGCGTTACTTTTTTTTCGTCTGCGACATGTGGCGACGCCCGGGTTTTAAGTAACACGTTTTCGACGCGTTTCGATACGCGAGAATATAGGAGCGTTTATTCACGCGGGAATAAAACCGATGCTCCGTTTTCACGTCACCACTTTATTCAAGGCCCTCTTATCAGAGGCTTCTCGAACGACGATGGCGTCCTCGCGACGCACTCAGAAGCCACTGATATTTTCGAATTTTACTATATTTTATATTCCAAAATTGGTCACTTCACTATATTTTATATTTCACTTATTCCAGAATTGACCCCAACACTTCACTATATTTTATCTTTCACTGAACATTCGGCGAAGAAATCGCAAATATCGCGCAAGAACATTGCCGATTATTTATCAGCGCGTATTTCCACTACCGAAAATTTTTTAATTACATATTAAAAGGTTGAATGAGCTCCTAAAAGTAACGGCACTTTTTTGTTATTCTAAATGTATTACATACTTACTCAACAATTACAATACTTGCTTCTATCCGCTAATTGTAAAAATTTTAGCGCTTAAAAATGCGGCATTTTGTTTCTTTAATTTTACTATTAGATACAGAGAGCTAGAAAGATTGGTTTCATGTTTTTCGGAATAAATGATATAAATTTATAAATGGTGCATAATTTATATGATTAATTGCACAAAATTTGAATATGTTTAATTAAGACAACTATTAAACACAAATGCTGACATACACACAAATATATACATATATACAGGGTGTCCGGTAACTAACGGACCAATGATTAAGAGCAGATTCTCTGGCCAAATTGGAGACGATTTTTCCTTAGCAAAAATGTTGAGAAGTCAATAATTTTCGAGTTATAAGCGATTGAAAAAAATGGGTCTTTTGAAAATTAAACGTTTTGGAGTTAAAAGTCTAACATAATTACATTCTTCAGTTAATTTCAATAAAGTTTACTACAATAAAATCTTAATTTGAGGCTTAGTTATAAAGATACATAATGACAAATATTGGAAAGTTGTAAAAAATGATGACCTTTTTCGACATTTTTGCTGAGAAAAAATCGTTCCCAAATTGACCAAAGAATCCATTTGTAATCGTTGGTCCGTTAGTTACCGGACACCCTGTATATATATATATATATATATATATATATATATATATATATATATAACGACCTCAGAAGTTTTGTTGACCTATCATATTTATACATATATAGAGAGACTCAGTCAGTCTTTTGTGGTCTGTCGAACCGTATCGTGGTAGATATAACGATTGTAACAAAGTGTGTGTGAACATTTTATATATTCTTCCAACATTGCATACTGCTAAAGCATTAATTTGTTGCCGTAAAACAAAAAAAATATATCAATATACTTTTGCATTTAACATTCTGTTTCAAAATATTGGGTAAGTCAAACTAAGTTAAACATATAAAAACATATTTGTCTACAAATATAAAAAGATTTAATTATACAGACATTTAATCATGTAGTATAACGGAATTTTAAAGAATTTCCAACATTTAAACATAAATAAAATAGTTTTTTATTTTTAAATTTTAATACAGAGATAATTTCAAATAATATCAATATTATATTTTACGATTGTAACGTTAAAATAATCTTGAACCACAAAAGTTTAATATCCAATAAATTATTTCTGAAATTTAAAATTACTACAATTTACATAACATATAATAAATATTATAACAGACACTTTTAATTATCCTTTCATTATTTGATTATTAAAATTCTGCTTTCTAAAATTTGTCGTTCTTTTTATTTTTTATAAAAAAATATCTGTGTGTATTTTAATATTTAAAATAATTTTTAAATTGTGCGACATTGAGTAAAATAACTGTAACAACGATATATTATAAAAAATATGAACGAATTATTTTTAAGTGAAAAAATAATTATAAATACAACACATAAAGATAAGTAGTATTCTATTAATCATATAAGTTAGAAGTAGACGAAATACTAAGTAATTTACGTAAAATTTTTGACGTAAAATCTTTGATATAAAACGCACAAAATATTATCTGGCTTACAAAGATTTGATTCAATAAACATTGATAAAGATTATAGCTTTAATACTTAATCTAAAAAAATTATAATAAGTAGTTGAATCGTTAATTATACAAATTTGAATAATTATATTTATTAATTTAAAATTATAGTATAAAATGATGAAACATACTAATTGTCAATCGAATGTAGAAATCCATAATATTGTAAATTTTAAGCAATTGTTAACGCATCTATTTTGAGGTTTTTAATTTATATTTAAAATATCTGAAAAAATCTCATTATATATATAGAATGTACCAGAAAGAGTAGTAAACCAGTTAATAGTAGACTTTTGAAATCATTTGGAGTCAATTTTTCCTCCGCGAAAATGCGGAAGGAAACTATCATTATTTGCATGTTCCCAAATTTGTCATCATGTATCTTTGTAATTAAATTGAAATTCTAATAAGAATGAACTCTATTTGAAATTCATTGATGAATGTGATTTTGTTAATATTTTATTTCCAAAGAACTTGGTTAGCGAAAAACCATTTTTTTTCAATCGCTTATAACTTGAAATTTATTGATATTTTGACATTCTTGCTGAGGAAAAATCGTTTTCAAATGATCTCAAATATCTGATTGTAAAAGGTATATTGCAAGTTTTGGGACATCTTATATATATGTATTATGTATATAATTATTAAGTTTATAATTGATATAATATAAAATTAAATTTATGTTAGCTTAATTCTTGGTGAATGTTCGTTTAGTGTTTATAATACACAGTTTAAGAGAAGAAATAAAAAAGAAATCAAACATAATAATAAACATGTATATACTCTATCTCTCTCTTTCTCTCGCCGCTGCTCAGTATTTCTTATTTCTACTTCTCTTCTTATTATTTTGAATGTAAACACAGGTATATATGTATGTAGAAGTAATGGCTCTTGTGTTTATAAAAGTAATTTGCTTCAGACAACTAATACTTTATATACTATAATTTTTTATGTTCTAAATAATATTCGGTAAATTTTAAATGTATATAAATAATTTTTTGACAATGAAATTAATTATTTAAAGATAATATAAAATATATTGTAATTTTAATATTTTTATATTGCTGTTAATTAAAATATGTGCGACACTGAAATACATATATATATATATATAATTTCATTTATAAAAATTGTGCAAATGGAAATTTACACTTTGTTTCCTCACCATATAATATTTTACTAGTTAGGATTTTCAGTTAATAATATTAATACTTTTTGTATTTATTTTCTTATTTATATACAAGAATTGTTTAAAGAGACATCTAAGCTATATTTAATTTTATTATTTATCTTTTGTTCAGAGTGTTTTACAGATCTAAAATAAATATTCCCTTTCTCCGACATGATGATATTTTTAAAACTATTATTAAGTAGCGGATTAATTTTTATCGCTGCGACGGCTTTCACTCGTAATGAATCTTTATGCTATAAACCATCAAAATATGTAATACCAATGCATTACGATATCATGCTTTCAACATTTATTGAAGGAAATATTTTCTATGGGGAATATAATATCAGCATATTCGTTTCGAAAAAAATGCAACACATATATTTACATTCAAAACAATTATGTATTAAAAATATAGTTTTATTTACAAATTTGGAAAAAAATCATGAAAATGATACTATTTATAAATCGACATATAATATTAAAAAAGACACAATTGATATTTCCTTTATGGATGAGTTATCACCAGGAAATTACATATTATATATAAAATATTTGGGTACTGCTGATAAAGGCTTCAGAATATTCGACATTAAAACAACTGTTGATAAAGAATCCATAATATTCGACGTTAAAAAAACTGCGTAAGTAAATAATTAATGTCAATTAATATATAAGAATACAATATATTAATAAAAAGAGTACAATATGCAATTACATAAGAAATTGTAATTAATATACTATTTATGTATTAAATGCCCCAAAAATTATTATATATCGCAAAATTTAAATCTGAAGGCAAACAATCTTTACATTTATTATTATAATAATATATAATAAAGTCATAAAATAATTTGCATTGACGCATATAACATATATACAGTTTTTAATTCTCAATATCTTAATGTTTGTCAAAAAAGTTTTATTAATTTATGTTCTTTGAAATGTAGTTGGATAGCTACTCCGCATTCCAGATAATAAGCGCTCAACAATCGTTTCCATGTGAGGATCAACAGGATTTATTGTTAGAAGCAACTTTTAACATTTCTATAGAATGTAAGCAATGCACGGCTTTGTCAAATATGCTATTGCGAAATACGGAAGAACATGCGGATAATTTGTTATGGATACACTTCCATACCACACCTGTAATGCTGCCTTATCTTGCAACAATAATTGTGTCTAATTACCTATTCCCACTTAAGACCAAAATTGAAATCATTCACATGTGGTGCAGAAACGAATCTCGATTTATAGAATTTGCAAAAAATGTAACTATACGTATCACGAGGTTTCTTGAATATGATTGGAGAGCTTTCTCCATATTGGAATCGAAGGTGGATTATGTCGCAATTCCAAATTTCCATGACAAAGGCATAATAGTTTTCGGACTTGTTCTTTATAGGTGAGAACAGGTGCTTCAAATTACATTAAAAATAAAATTATATTTATATGCACAATTATAAAATTTGAAAACATGTATATTTTTGTTTCTGTAAACGTTCAAAAGTATAAGGAATTGCAAAAACAATTAATTTTAGTAGAATTAAATTTATTCATATTATTACAAAGTTAAAGTTTACTATTTTAATAAGTATACATATAAAGGGTAAAGTAAGTATGCAAAATCGTACCCCTTAAGGAAGATGTTAAAACTGCAATAAAGCTATAAAAGAAATGACATTTTTTTATTTATTTCAAACTATTGTTCTTTGTCAAACGATATACACATAAATAGAAATTTATCGTTGTTTCATATTGTAAATTAGAAAATATAAAAAATATTATTTGGTACGATTTACAATACTGATTTGCTAAATTGTACCCATGAGTTTGTAGATCGTACATCTAACAATTATATTAAAATATTGTAACAAAAATAAAGTTGTATTTTCTATAAAAGTTCTCAATCTTAACATTTAAATATAACTTTCAGGGAAACAGATATCATCTACGATAAAAATTTATATCCTATTGCTCAGAAAATCGAAGTAGCTCAATTAGTAGGACGTAAAGTGACACAGCAATGGTTTAATAACATGATGAACAATCCATTACTATCGGATTTTTGGCTTAAAAAAGGTCTTACTACATTGCTTGCAACGTATACTGTCAATAAGGTTATTCTAAATATTATCAACGCAATCTCGCTCCCACCTTCTCGCAAACGATACAATACTTAAGTATTCTTATTGCAAGATTTTCTTAAATCAAAACCCTTTTTAAAAAATCTATATGCATCCTTTGTCTTAAAAACATTTAGCATTATATAAAATAATCAATTGTTTTTAAAAAAATACTTTTTCTCACATATTTACACACATATATTTATAATTTAATTTATTAAAAATTTTTATTTTTAACACTTTATTAGATATTTTTAATTTTTTATGAAATTTAAAATAAAATAAATTAATCAAAAACTAGTACACATGAAATTTATTTAAAAAATTTGATAAAAAGAAGTCTGCAATATAATATCATGAAACAATATAATTAAAAAATATGTAATTTTGCTAATTATATTAATACAAAATTCTAGATTTTATTATTATATTTTTAATGAGAATGTGTTTTGTTTTAATTATGAAGTAACGTTAATAATATTAGTATTTGAATTTAATACAAGATACAAGTATTTTCAGAACGGTTATATCAATAAATTAATTATTTTTTTTTATAGGCTTATCCAGATTATCGAATAATGAATTTATTTGTTGTTCAAAATCAACATTACTCTTTTAATTTGGATGGTAATCATATGTGGCCTTTTACTTCACAAGATGACAGTTTATTGAAAATTCGCCAATCTATCAGAGGTATAACATAATATAATAAAATAGTCCGCGGTATGACATAATATTAACTATTAATATTATAAAATATGTGTTAAGTTGGAAGATAATTAATTCTTTATCTGAATTTTAATTAAATATTATTTTATAAAAGTACATACACACACATACGCGGGCACGCGTTTACACACACACGCGCGCGCGCACGCACGCACACGCTCACGCACACACACAGTGTCCGGTTATACCTGCACATATGTAGGTACAGGAAATTAATTAAATAGTTTTTAAAAATTTGCTATAAATAAAATGATGAACGGTGCGGCAGTAAAAAACATTTCACTCTTACGCGATTACTACCCTGTATACATATACAATATAATTTTCCTTTAAAAAATCGTTATATTTTCAAGTAACCATCAAAATAAATATATATTTGTAATATATTTAATTTTCATAATTTTGATGTAAATTGTAGTACCTTTTATACTACGGATGATGCAACACATCCTCACAGAAGAAATGTTTCAGGAAAGCATAAGCACATATGCATATGACACGTGAGTAATACAATATAAAATATAATATCAAAAAGATAAAATTGTACACAACATAAATTTGTTATTTTTTAAAGTAATTTTTGAAATAATTTTTATTCTTTTTATTTATCTCCTATATTTCATTATATTGTCTATAATTCTTATATCTTTTTTTTTAATTGGATTATGTGCTACATTTATTTTCTAATCTTATTTAACAGGTTTTTAAATATGTAACATTTATATCACTTCTCAATTACTTTTTTTATTTCTATTTCCTTATCTCGTAAATCGAGCCTTTACATTATTTTTCTTATTTTTTTTTTGTTTTCAATTTCTTATTTGTTCTATTTTTATTTGGTTATTTTTTTATATTTGGTTTTTTCTTTTAATCATTTTATACTCTTTCAATACTTTGCTCAAATATAATCCGTATTAATGCTAAAAATACCTAAAAAATTAAATAAAATTATTAAATTTCATTTAAAATTGTGTTATATTATTTATTATTAGAATATAAATATAAGATATATAAATATATATATAAAAGTGCAATTTTATAATTTGCTTCTTAATATTTGTTAAAGTCTTTCATAATATTAATATTTTACAGACAACTTTAACATATTTGTAATGTTTTTTTATATATATTTTATGCTGCGTGAATTTAGCGAATCACATGATGAAGGCTTTGTGGAGCTTACGAAACATATTGCTTTAAAAAATCCAAATATTACTCAACAACTGACAAGAATGGAAGATTGGGCTTTGGAATATCATTGTCCCGTGATTAAAGCAGTACGAACATATCATAATAGAGAGATAATGAGCGAAGTAAATGTATCGATACAATATATCAACACATTAAAAATTGGCTGCATTCCTGTAACTTTTACTACGGAAGCATCTCTCGATTTTAACAATTTTACTCATCATATGGTATGCGTGTCAAAGAATTTAAAATTATCATTACCATTTAAAGAGGATGGTTGGATGATATTCAATATACAACAAATTGGTAAATATCGACCAATGGATTTATTATGACATATTTCTCGTTTTTATTTTACACACACATAATTGATATTGTTTTATATTTTTATCTATTTTATTCATTGTCCTATAAAAATCTGAAATATTCATTAAATAACTGTTATAGTTTTACAATGCTTTTTGTCATATTCTGCATTATTATGTCCATAATATTATATTTAAAATGTACGTAGATGTTTTCTATAAATAATATCAAAATTATTAAAAAGATAATTATATTTCTAAAATTAATTTCATTTTATGATATGCAACAATATCTTGCATAGTTTCATTTTTTCCACTATTTGAAGTATTAAAATGACATTTTATAATTAATTTCTATATATATTATCATTTTATTTATATTCAATTTTTGGTACGTTTTTTATTTATAATTTATATAAACAAAATTATGAAACAAAAATATTTGAAAATATATTCTGATAAAATTATTCAAAACAATAAAAATTGATAAAATTTATTTTCTATGTGACAGGATATTATCGCGTTAACTATGATGATGAGAATTGGCAAAGTAATTCAAAATACATAATATATATAATATATATATAACACTATTTTGCACAGCTTTATTTATTATTTTAATTAATTTTCTATATGTATTTGCATTTTATTTATATGTATTAAATTTTTCTGATTTTTAAAGTTATAATTTATATAAACAAAAGTATAAAACTAAAATGTTTGATAAAAGTATTTAAAATAATGAATATTTATAAGATTTATATACTATTCGACAGGATATTATCGCGTTAACTATGATGATGAGAATTGGCGAAGAATTTCAAGTTATTTAAAATCAGATAATTACACGAAAATTCATGTTCTTAATCGTGCCCAAATTATCGATGATGCATTTCATTTAATGATAGCAGGAAAACTCAAATTCCTTGTATTCGCAGATATAATATCGTATTTGCATCGAGAAGAAGATTATATAGCATGGTATTCTATGTTTAAAGCTCTGGAATACATATTTAGCACTTTTCTGTAGCTATGCTGGAAGATAAAATGTGGAATTTTAAGGTAAATTTTAATAAATATTAATAAAAGTTTAAACGACTTAACTACGACGTAACTAGCAATTTTATTTGATTATTTCACGACGTTTCTAATAAATATTTACAGAATAATAAAGATTTAATTGTTACCAAAGCTGACAAAGGACAAGTGACAGTGGTTATGAATAGAAATGATTATGTGACTAATATGGAATTATTGTTAAGTGATTCGATGACATACATAAAATTAAATAAAAATCCGATTACACGTCTGACGAACAAACTTCATACGTTAGTAAAGTCATGGCATAATAATGAGATCATTGATGATCAAACATATAAATTTCTGAATTGCACAAATGGTAATTTACCACGGTGTTATGGACTCCCGAAGATCCATAAGAGCGGGTATCCATTGAGAATCATTGTGTCATCGTTAGGCAGTCCCTTTTATAATATTGCCAGTTACATTCATGAGATATTAGTTAAGTCTGTTAAGAAACCGGATTCTAATGTTAAGGATGTTTGGACTTTTGTGAATACTATTAAAAATACAAGGGTTAATGACGATGACGTAATGATTTCCTTAGATGTTTGTTCGTTGTTTACAAATATTCCAAAAGATTTAGTTTTTTCTGCAATTGAAAGTCGTTGGAGTGACATAAATCTAAAAACTAAATTTAATTTGCAACAGTTCCTATACGCTGTTGATGTAATACTTACTTCAACTAGTTTTCAATTTAATGAGCAGTATTATGAACAAATTTATGGAAGCCCTATGGGATCCCCTCTATCACCGATACTAGCTGACTTAGTAATGGATGACTTGGAAACAAATTGTTTAAATTCTTTAAGTTTTAAAGTTCAGACTTTTTATAGATATGTGGACGACATTTTTGTTATTTTACCTAGCTCTAAAATAAATGAAATTTTAAGTACATTTAATAATTATCATAAACGTTTAAAATTCACACATGAAATAGAGACCAATTCTTCTATTAATTTTTTAAATTCTACAGTTATCCGCAATGGGAATAAATTGACAACTAATTGGTTTAGAAAACCTACATGTTCTGGCAGATACATCAATTTTCTTTCGAGTCATCCTATTAAGTACAAAATTAATACGATTTACAATTTAGTAGACCATGCAATTTTGCTTTCTAACGAACAATTTCATAATACGAATATTGAGATTGTAAAGAACATTTTAATTAATAATTGTTTTCCGGATCATATTATTAATAAGTATGTAAATAAAAGAATTAATGTACTGAATAACAACAGGAATGGTAACGGTCACAATGCGGATAATAACGACAGTTTGAGTAATGATTTAGATAATAACGTTAATGTGAATTCGGCTCAAGATAAGAATTATGTAATTCCACTCCCATACGTTAAAGACGTTAGCGACAGTATTAAAAGATCACTTAATAGTGCTAACATAAATGTCGTTTATAGTTTGCCAAAAAAGTTGAATAGGCTGATAAAACGAGGTAAAGATTTAATAACTAATGATATTAAAACGAATGTAGTTTACAAGATTAACTGTGAAAATTGTAATGCATCATACATTGGACAAACAAAAAGACATTTATGCACTAGAGTGAAGGAACATGCCAGCAATATTAAATTACATGAGTCTAATCATTCGGTTTTGAGCAAACACAGATGTGATTTTGGGCATAACTTTGATTGGAAATCACCGACAATTTTACATAACGAGAAACATGTAAGAAAGAGAGAGATTGCTGAAATGTTCTTCATAAAGAAGCATGACAATACAGTTAACCTACAGAAAGACACCGAGAATTTGACAAACATTTACGACAAAATAATAAAGATTGTTTAGTGGCGCGTTTCAAGTTTAGTCGTTGACGAAACATCATAACGATGGGACGTGTTCCTCTTTTAATTTTTAACTTTTAACATCATAACGATGGGACGTGTTCGTCTTTTAACGTTTAACTTTCGATTTCAAATAACACCGGTGTGATGTTATGTTAACCTCGGTTTAATTGATGGTATGTTTATAATATTTATACTTATTTTATTAATTTAACACTTAAATGAGTTTTCGTATGTTAAAAAATATTGTGTAACATTATGTTGTAGAAATTTCACTTGAAAAGGACCACAACCAAATGGTCGAAACGTCGTGAAATAATCAAATAAAATTGCTAGTTACGTCGTAGTCAAGTCGTTTAAGCTTATTTTCACCACTAGCGACAAATATTAATTTTGATTGATATTAATTTTAATTGATCGTATTAATAAAAGTATTATATTTCAGATATTTGCATATACACTTATTAATTACAAAAAATTTAAATATTCAAAAAAATACCGCAACAATAATACATATTATTATACGTCGCAAACAAATGTGCTTTAATTATATCTTTTAAATATTATAAATATTTCGCATAAATTAAAGCATATTTTTCCATATATGTATGTATATTTGAACGTATGTACCTGCATAAATAAACGCTCGCGTCTATAAGTAAATTTGTATGTATGTTTGTCTTAAAGAAAGAGAATATTTTAAGAATATATTGATAAATAATAGAAAAATATAATAATTTTTATAAATGATTTATTAAAGTTCGATCTGACTGGCCAATACAAATCGTATTACACACAACGTTTCGACCCTTGGATACGAGCCCTTATCAAGTATATTACTCAATATCATGTCTTTCACTTTAACATCTTGAAAGCACCGCTTGATAAAGGCTCGTACCTAAGTGCCAAAACGTTATGCGTGATACGATTTGTATTGACCAGTTCGATCAAACTTTAATAAATCATTTATAATTTTATTAGCGCCTTTATTTTAATCTATTGAGATTTTAATAATTTTTAAATACATTTATAATATGAATAAAGAAATATATATTTAACGATTTTTAGAATTACATAAACCAAGCATTATACGAGGTACTTAAAAGAATCAAATATGAAGAAGTTAATGATAGTGACGACCTTAGAAAATGTTTACGACAAGAAGCTGCAAGATGGGCATGTTTTTTCGGCGACTCCGAATGTAAGACAGAAGCCAACAAAAAATTAGTAAAACATCTCCAAAATTCTACAAAGCACAAGTAAATATTGTTATATATTTTTAGCCTTTCTTAATCATTCTTGTAGGTATCGCCTATAATGTTTAAATAATTTGATCAAGAGGTCCATATGCTAAATTTTAATAAGAAAATTTATTTTTTTTTAAGAGTTTAACTAGGCTCTGTAATATAAATATAAATTTAACATATATAAGACAGGCAATAAGAGCCAAATCGCGGATGACAGTGCGTTATCCTAAACGAAACTAAATTTTTTCGTTTAGAATTAAATACCTTGTGCACAAGGCACCAAATTTTACTTGGACACGGCCAAGATATAAAATTGGAATAATCTCTACAAGAGATTTTTAATTCCATGTATCCCCTATTCCCCCTAAAGAAATTATTGCCTGTCTTATATATGTTAAATTTATATTTATATTACAGAGCCTAGTTAAACTCTTAATTTATACACGCTGGCTTAAAGGCGTTTATTTACCAACATTAATATATATAACAGAGAAAAATATAGAATCGAAAGGATCTGAATAGCTCAGTTGGAAGAGCAGTCGCCCGGCAAGCGAAAGGTCTCGGGTTCGATTCCCGATTCTGCGACTTTCGGATCTATATTTTTCTCTCGCATTTATTTCTTTAGGGGGAATAGGGGATACATGGAATTAAAAATCTCTTGTAGAGATTATTCCAATTTTATATCTTGGCCGTGTCCAAGTAAAATTTGGTGCCTTGTGCACAAGGTATTTAATTCTAAACGAACAAATTTAGTTTCGTTTAGGATAACGCACTGTCATCCGCGATTTGGCTCTTATTGCCTGTCTTATATATGTTAAATTTATATTTATATTACAGAGCCTAGTTAAACTCTTAATATATATATATATATATATATATATATATAATATAATATATAATTTTTTTTTTAAATCTATATTTACAAGTAACCACACACACACATTATAGTAAATATATATTTATAATACAATATATCTAATTTATAATTTTGATGTAAATCGTAGGACCCTTTATACTGCGCATGATGCAACACACCTTCGCCGAAGAAATATTTTGGAAATTTATTCGCACATATGTAAATAGCACGTGAGTAATTCAATACAAAATATAATATGAAAAAAATTAAATTGTATAACATAAATTATGTTTAATAATAGAAGTTTTATAAAATGTCCCTTATTTTTTGGCTTTTCTGATATTTATTCCTAATGTTTTTTTTTAAATTATAAATTTGATGACGCTCGTGTATTATTTACGATAATAATTTTAATGTGTTGATAAAGTCAACTATCGTGCATAAATTACAAGGATGTTCACGTAAAAAATAATAATTGAAAACTTAAAACATATTTAATTACATCCAAACATTATAAACAAGTCTTCTTCAATGTTTAAATCAATTATATATAAATCTATTAAATGTCAACCTAAAATGGATAGTTGTATCTGTAAATTATGTAGATGCATTATTTCGTGGAATTCATAATACGGTCTTAGACGTGAAGAACCTTTTTTACTTCCATCGTTAGAAAGCGTGGAAACGTCATAGTTCTCGAAATTAAAAAGAACTCTATAGGTGTCTATTCCTAAATAAGCCTACAGTAATCTATTATATTGTTGTAACCATCTTGCTTCCAACGATAAAATTTTTTTTAGTTTAACAATTCCGCCTTATTCTTAGATCTACTACTAGATTAATTTTAATTTTATCACTTTTCCTATGAAAACCATTTCCGTAATAAGAAATTGTGGTTTTATCGTTGTCACTTTTTTATATACAATTACACTGTTGTTTTCTTTTTATTTCGTGATTTGATATTTTTTAAAATAATTTTTATTCTTATTATTATTTCCTTTATATCGTCTATAATTCTTATAATCTTTTTTCTTTTAATTGCATTTTGTGCTACGTTTGTTTTTCATCTTATTTAACAGCTTTTTAAATATCTAACACTGCTTATATCTATTTTCCATTACTTCTCTATTTTCGTAAATCGATCTTCTTTATATTATTTTTCTTGTTTTTGTTTTGTTTTCAACTTTTTATTTGTTTTTTTCTTCTTTTAACCATTTTATAATTCTTTCAATACTTTGCTAAAATTTAATCTATATTAATGCTAATAATGCTAATAATAAAATTATTAAATTTGATTTTAAATTATGTTATATTATTTATTATCATAATATAAATACAAGATATATAAATATATAAATAGAAGTGCAATTTTATATTATGCTTCTTAGTATTTATTATAATTTTTTATAATATTAACATTATATACAGACAATTTTAACATATTTCTCGTGTTTCCTTTATATATTTTACATACTGTGTAAATTTAGCCAATCATATCGTCAAAGTATTGTGAATATTTGGAAAGAAATTGTTGCTGCTGCAGAATAACCAGATACTGATTCATCTACAAATAATGAATTATTGGAAAATAGAAAGACGTTGTCCTATCATAAAAATAATACGAAATTATAAGGATATGAGCGAAGTAAATGTATCGATACAATATATCGACACATTAAAAATTGACTGCCTTCCTGTAACTTTTACTACGGAAAAGTATCCTGATTTTAACAATTTTACTCATCATATGGTATGTGTGCGTGTCAAAAAATTTAAAATTATCATTACCATTTAAAGAGGATGGTTGGATGATATTCAATACAACAAATTGGTAAATATCGACAAATGGACTTATGACTTATTTCTCGTCTTTATTTTACACACACATAATTGACATTATTTTATGTCTTTATCTATTTTATTCATAGTCCTTTAAAAATCTGAGATATTCATTATAATAACTATAATAGTTTTAAAATGTTTTGTGTAATATTCTGCATTATTATATAGATAAATAGATAGATAGATAAATAGATAGATAATTTATTGTGCTTTTAATGGGAATTACAAGGCGCTTTTATAGGAGCGGTCCCGAACTTTTGACAATCATATAATCAAAACTCATTGTCAGTATCATCCTGGCCATTTGCGACCTCACAATTAAGGTTTCTAATTTCTCGACTTTTTCAATATCTCGGGATTCAAGAATTTTCTATTTCTGTTCTCGGAAATTCGCGGGAAATCGAGAATATAAAAAACCTGTCAAAAGACAATAAAATCAAAGAAAATAATTAATTTAAAGATATATTAATCATTTAAATCAATTTTATTGTTTTATCTACATTGTTATTACATAAATCAGTCTTCTGTCGAATCAGTCATTCTTTTTGTTAACACAAATAAAATTAAAATATTTAAAACATATTTAAAATTATAAAAAAAATTAAAATATTCAAAATATTTAAAATGACAAAAACAATACTTTTAAGTTTGATTTTTATAAAATAACATTTTAAATAATATTATATAATACTTAATATAACAATATTAATATATGAAAATTAAAAATTAGTCACATGTTAAATTAAAGATAAAATAAAATATAAGAACGTTGATATTTGAGAATCGCCAGACAGAATTTAAAAAAGGTAAAATTCTTCTCTCGACCGTACTGGCGAATATTATTTATTCAACGTTTCGACCCTTCTTTGAGTCCTTATCAAGTGATCTAGATACACATAGACAGAGATTAATATAATAAAAAAAACAAAATTACTTTACTAACAATATTACAAAATGATAAAAAAAAAGAAGCAAAACATACTTGTAAAAATAAGAATAAAATTATAATTTTAAGATGTCAAGAACGAACATAGTGTCGGTTTGACAACACGTCAAGACTCTTAGACGAGTTATTGGAGACTAAACGACCTTTATTATTTTGTCGTAGATATTACTTAGACTGTCGGTATCCTTTTGTAAATTAATAGCGTTATTATTTCCATTAATAAAAAACATTTCTGCGATTTCTCTTTTTCTTACGTGCTTTTCACTATGCAAAATAACAGGCGAAGTCCAGTCAAAATCACATAAAATCACACAAATTCACATAAAAACCTTTTGAGAGAATCAGCTACTGAAATTCTGGTGGTTTCCAGTACGTCACTCGGAATGTTCCTGTGATTAATCTCTAAATTCTTTATGTTCTCCAGGACGATATTCATTCGATCTTTACTATTTGCGTGATCTATCGGCAAACCAAATTTGTCACCTAAGCTTAAAAAATCAGATACCTTATCTGGAATATTTTTACCACTAATGTTCACCAACCACTTAGAATTGTCAATGGTTTTGAACAAGTCAGAAAATGCGTTTTGTTTAGTGCACAATTTGTCAAATTTACTGATAGACTTATTTTTATGAGAGAGTTTAAGTTTGAAAAGTCTCTTTTCATTTAACTTAAGTTGTAAGAAACGTTGTGATTGAATAAATAATATTTGCCAGCACGATCGAGAGAAGAATTTTACCTTTTTTAAATTCTGTCTGGCGATTCTCAAATATTTACGTTCTTATTTTTTACGCTCCTGGACCTGGATATGGAGCCCACACAAGTGGAAGGATTTTTTTGCATGATCTCGAGAAGGTTCGGTACTTATCATACAACACTTTTGAAAACTTGGATCAATAACATGAAAAAGATTATTGCTGTGAACCAACAACTAATTTTTCTGTTACGATGTAGAAGGCAAGATGTTCTTCCTTCCTCATATTATTAATTTTAAAACGAACATATACTATACGAACATATAATAAGAAATCAAAGACAAAAATCCACGAAATAATTGATACTTTTAATAACTATCACCACAGTTTAACCTTTACATATGAGACGGAATCAGACGGATGTCTTAATTTTTTGAATACAACGATCTCTCGGTCAAATGGAAAGCTTGTAACAAATTGGTACAGGAAGGAAACGTGTTCGAACAGATATATAAATTTCTTTTCCAACCACCCTTTTAAATATAAAATAAACACAATTTTTAATCTTGTAGATCACGCGATTCTTTTATCTAATGACCAGTTTCACGACGAGAATATTAACATCGTGAAACAGATTTTATTTAATATCTGCTTTCTTAAACATGTAATCGATCGTTGGTTTAAAAAAAGGATTAATTTTTTAAAACACAGAAACATGAATGAATCGAGTAATGAGCGAAATATTGTTGATAAGTCTCCTTTCGTTTCACTATCTTATGTTAATAGCTTAGGCGATATCGATCGAATTTTTAAAATCATCGGATTTAATGTTGTTCATAATGTTCCTAAAAAACCGAACCATTTAATTGCACTCGGTAAGGATAGACTGCCTACAGATAAAAAAATTGAAGTAGTTTACAAAATTAATTGTAAGGATTGCAACGTGTCATACATCGGACAAACAAAAAGACATCTTTGTACACGTGTAAAGGAACATTTCAGCAACATCAAAATGCATTCGAGTAATTTATCAGTTATCAGCAAACATAAAATTGAATTCGATCACGATTTTGACTGGACTTTGTCTGTTATTTTGCATAGTGAAAAGCACGTAAGAAAAAGAAAAATCGCAGAAATGTTTTTTATTAAGGGAAATAATAAAAAGATACCGACAATCTAAGTAATATCTACGACAAAATAATAAAGATCGTTTAATCTCCAATAACTCGTCTAAGAGTCTTGACGTGTTGTCAAACCGACACTATGTTCGTTCTTGACATCTTAAAATTATAATTTTATTCTTATTTTTACAAGTATGTTTCGCTTCTTTTTCTTTTTATCATTTTGTAATATTGTTAGTGAAGTAATTTTGGTTTTTTTTATTGTATTAATCTCTGTCTATGTATATCTAGATCATTTGATAAGGACTCAAAGAAGGGTCGAAACGTAGTGATTGAATAAATAATATTTGCCAGTACGGTCGAGAGAAGAAAATGAAATATATTTGACAATACTTAAAGAATACATAAATAAAAAAATATACTAGATGTTTCTTAAATAATATTATTCAATATTAATGTTATCTTTTTAGAAATATTTTATTCTAATAATAGTAAAAATTATTTAAAAATAATTATTAAGTCCTTGAATAAGTTCTCGCTGTTTTTTTGTTAAAAAAAAACATTTATTTAAAATATAAGGCTTACAATAACTTTACTCAAAGTATTGTCCGTCGCCCGATCTTGATCAAGCAATGATCTCCAATTCTTCGTCTTCAAACTTTGTCGGTGCTCCAGAACGTTCTTTATCTTCAAGGTCAAAGTCATTATTTTTAAAGCGCCTAAACCAGTCTCTGCATGTCGTATTCGACAGAGCATTGTCACCATATGTTTCAACAAGAATTCTGTGTGCTTCAGCTGCAGATTTCTTTTGAATAAAGCAGTGCAATAAAATTCCCCGCAAAAACACTTTATTTGGCACAAAAGTAGACATTTTCGCAATAGGTAATTAAACACGTGGTTGACACTGTGGTAAACTGTATCTACTAGAATTTGAGGTTACATATAGTACTACTTAGCTGATGCGTTTCCGTACGAAATTCCATGCACAGAGTGCCGCTACGCCATTTTTTAAAAAACAGCGAGAACTTATTCAAGGACCTAATATATTTATAAAATTAATAATAATAAGTGCAGGTAATATACAATTTTCGTCACGTTACACGTTACAGAAATCATATTAGCTAGTTAAAAATAGTTATTATTAATGCACAAATGGGGAATCAATTTTATATTATTATGTACCACAATATCTTGCACAGTTTCATTTTTGTACTATTTCAAGTATTAAAACGACATTTTTATAATTAATTTCCTATATGTATTTACATTTTATTTATATGTATTAAATTTTTGATATGCGTTTTTAATTTCTAATTTATATAAACAAAAGTATAAAATAAAAATTGAAATAAGTTTCAAAATAAGTATATTAATGATAAAATTATTCAAAACAATAAAAATTGATCAAATTTATTTACTGTTCGACAGGATATTATCGCGTTAACTATGATGGTTAGAATTGGCGAAGAATTTTAAATTATCTAAACGAATGATGATTACACGAAAATTCATGTTCTTATGCGTGCCCAAATTATCGATGATGCATTTCATTTAATGATGGCAGGCCAACTCAAATTCCTTGTATTTATATAGATATAATAATATATATAATATATATAATAAATAATATATATAATATAGATATAATAAATTTTTATCATACTTGGCTTGCTCTGAAGATACTAATCTCATTAAAAAGTATTTAAGATTTAATCAAAACATTTCTACAGAACAGGAATATCCAAATTCTTTTAACAGTTTCTTACATATTATTACGAAGCATGCGAATAATCATATTATACTGGAGTACATATTAGATGATTTTAACGAAATAAAACTAAAGTAATGTGGCATATTTTTATAAATATTGTGTACAAAAGTTTATTATGTGTATTATTGTATATACATACATCTGTTTTTTTGTTTTTAGAAATGTTAATATAATTGCAGCATTAATTATTATTATTAATAACGTATATTCCGTAAATCTAACTCAGGTAAAAATTTTACATGTTTAAATATGTATACAAAATTTGATAATATTGCGATATTAATAATTATTATTTAATGTTTAAAATAATTTTGATAATGTTGGAAAAATAATACATTTTAGCAAATAATATTATATGCCGTTAGAGGTATTATAGAAA